CCCTGGGGCACTCCTGTCCATCTGTACTGTGGTTGTCCCTGGGAGCTGAGAAGGTCTGGCCTGTTTTCACTGGGATTCAGAGGCACTGTTGGCGGCAAAACTGTTTCAGCCCCACCCATTTTCTCCACAAAAATTCTTTATTAAGAGAACCATAGTTGAGAGCGTTAGGCAGAACCTGAAGAGACTGTGGACTTAGTGGTGGGAACGCCTGGTGCAGCTCACTCTGAGGCCTGAGGTGAGTCATTAGACTCTTACCTTGGCTTCCCCTCTGTGGGCCGACAGCGTGGCCCGAGTGAGCTCCTCAGGTGAATGCTGCGAACCCCACAGGAGGGGCTTCTCTGTGCTATTTAGCAGGTTTTTCATCACCTCTCAAGGGCGTGGAGCTGGGAGAGAGTGAGCAAAATGAAAAGGTACCTCTGACAGCAGCCGCCACTCCTGAGCCCTTCTCTCTGGGTACAGCCTGAGGACACGGAGGTTCAACATGCAGCCAGAAGCCCTCCACAGCCCAGCCTTGTGCCCCTGCACGGAGCTCAGCAGGGACCCCATCCTCTAGAGCAGACGCCAGCCCCACAGATGTGCCCTGGAGCCCCCCGGAACTCACAGGAACCACTTTTTTCTGCTTAACCCATTGTTTTAGGGTCCTGGGGCTGCCAGGTCCACGTCCCACAAACTGGGGGACTTAAAGCAAAAATTTCTCCTCACTGGCCTGGAGGCCAAAGTTCAAAACAGGGACAAGGTAGGCCATGGGCAGGGCGTGCTCCTTGGGTGCTCCTGGGTATGGGCAGGGCGTGCTCCCCGGATGCTCCTGGGTGTGGACAAGGGATGTCCACCACCCCCTTGCTCCTGGATGTGGACAGTGTATGCTTCCCAGGTGCTCCTGGGCATGGGCAGGGCGTGTTCCCCTGATGCTCCTGGGCATGGGCAGGGTGTGCTCCCCCAGTGCTCCTGGGCATGGGCAGGGTGTGCTACCTGGGTGCTCCTCCTGAGCATGGGCAGGGAGTGCTCCCTAGGTGCTCCTCCTGGGCATGGGCAGGGAGTGCTCCCTGGGTGCTCCTCCTGGGCATGGAGAGGGTATGTTCTCCGGGTGCCCCTGGGCATGGGCAGGGTGTGTAGCTCTGTCCAGGCAGTGGGGTTTGGAGGAGGGGGTCCTGGGCATGGAGAGACAGGTCCCCCCTTTGACGCTGGCCACCTCTTTGTCCCTGCCCTGCCCTGAGATGGCTGCATTTGGGTCCCCCAGAAGCAGGCCCAGAGCATTTGCCATATCTGCTTTATTTGGGGCATTTAGGGAAGATGGGATGTTGGCAGCATTAACCAGGTGCCCTGCTGGCTCCTGGACTGGGCCTTGGCCCCCTGGGCTGTTCCCACCGAGTGCTCCTGGTGGCCCCTGCTCTGGCTGATCCCCAGACAGGTTCAGTGAGGGTGGTGGGAGGCACTGCCAGAGGCACCTTGTAAACAAGTGAACCTGCCTGGGGGCTGTGGGTTGTGGTGGGGGGGTGGGTTTAGCATTTTCGAGCCACCTTCCCTGGTGGCCCAGACAAACTCAGATACCCAGGTCCCACCCAGCCAATGAGCCCCTGTACCCCCCAGTCCCACCGTGCCCCCCAGTCCCACTGTGGCTCATGGAGAGTGTACCTGCAGCGCGCTGCATCTGAGGGCCCACTGGTGTCTAGGCAGCAATCAGGAATTCTTTTAGCACCTACATCAGTCCGTGCCGCAGGATCTGCCCCCAACAGCAGGGGTCTCCTCACAGCTGCCGGGAGGCATGACCCGAGGTACGCCTGGTTGAACATTCTGGAACTGAGAACAGCAGTGCAGCCTGAGAGGAAAAGCAGCTCAGCCTCACCTCGCCTTGCCTAGCCCCAGCAGAAGCTGGGCAGGCACAGGCCCTGGGGGCCTCAGGGCAGGACTCCATCCTGGGCTGGGAAGAGCAACTCAGTTCCTGCCTCGAAACCCAAGGCCTCTGGTCCAGGGAACTCAGCAGGAAATGAAAGCCAAGGACGAAAGCAGGACCCCAAAGGGCTGGTTCCCAGGCCGGAGCCGCACCCCCTGCAGAAGCTTGAACAGCAAGTGACAGTCAGCAGCCAGGTAGGAAATTCGGGGGCTTTGCGCTTGGAGGGAAGCCCGCCCCATATGGAAATGCTTTCGAAGCTTGTGGTGGTGCACTGGGCCGCCAGACGGCTCCGTCAGGATGGTCATTAGCCCCATTTCTCAGGTAAGAAAACCAGGCTCAGATTCTCAGCAACTTGTGCACAGCGGCAGGCGGGTCACCTTCAGCAGCAGAACCAGCACAACCCCAGCAGGTCCAGGCCTGGAGGCACCCCCGCACCTTCCCCATAGGCTCCCACCCCACCCAACTTCGCACCATACACCCAGCAACCCGGCATCCCACATGCTCCCCACCCCCACCCTGAAAACCCTGTGCCCGACACAGCCCCCACCCCCCACAAACCCTGCACCATCCACCCAGCAACTCTGAGTCCCACACCCCATACCCAGCACCCCGCATCCCATACCCCCATGCCCACATCCCCACCCTCCTCTGCCACACTCCTGCACCGTGGACACCCTGGACTCTGGTCCTGATGCCTCCGGCCTGTGCCCTCTGCTTTGAGCCTGGCCTCGCAGCTCACCTCTCCCAGGGTGTCTGGTGGTGTTCAGGTTCCTGGTAGCAGCCCAAATTGCCAGGCTCCAATGCTCCCCCAGGACCCCCTGCATCCCCCCAGCATCCATGCAGGCCCAGCACCCCCACCCAACCCTTGATCACAGAGAAGGGAAAGGAGCCCTCAGAGTCCAAGATTCTTCAAAACTTCCAGAAGAAGTTCTGTATTTTTTAAATAACTCATTTCATCAAAAACACATGACAGTTAAGGGATGGGAAAGGAGTGCAGAGCCGTCAGACTGTTTTAAAGGCACAGCACATCTACCTCCCTCAAACACCGTAATGCAGCCACACAGAAGCTGGGAAGCACATGTGCATCCTCACAGGGACTAGTTTAGAGTGGGTGGAAGCTCCAGGGCCTCAGGAGCCAGAGATTAAGGCCTTCTCCTGCACAGACAGTGCAGGGGACATGCCATCCCTCCCAGGATGCTGAGGGGGGACCTTGCAGTGCCCCTGGGAAGTGCTGGTGGGGTGGGCAGCAAGAGCCGCACTCAGGGTCCCGGGACGGGGCTACAGGGCCCTTGGCATCCTTCACTGCTGGGACGGGGGCTCCCTGCCGCCCCAGAACCTGTGGGCTGTGACCAGTGCCTAATGCCAGGCTGTGGCAGTGGAGACCTAGGGTTGGTCAGTGGCCCCCTGCGGAGGCTGTGCCGTGTGGGTCAGGGGCCCGGCCAGGCCTGTACCAGCCAGCACTGCCCATCAGTGTGGACAAATGCCCATGGGAGAGGCTCTCATTCTCCCCACCTTCCAACGGGGAAACCAAGTGAGGCCAACTCAGCACCGAGCATGGGTCTGGCCCTGGTGGTGGCAGATTTTCTTCACTGTTGTGCAGTCCTGCTTGGCTCTGTTGTGGCTGCTGCCCAAGGCTCAGTGGCATCTCCTGGTGCCACCACAGGGACAGCCGCTGTGTTTCCATACTGTGCTGTGGGCCCGCGGGGCAAAGTGGCAGCTGAGTCAGGGGCTACAGAGGCCTGTGCGGCCTTCGGAGCTGGACCTGGGCCTCACTGCTCTCAGCCTGGAACATGGCAGCTCTGCCAGGGGCTCACAGGCCGACATTGCCCCAAAGGAGCTTCAGCACCAGCCATGGGCAGATTGTGAGAAACTCAGGGAAATGTGTAGACTTTTCTGTGACTCAGTGGTGCAGTGTCTTCTGAACTGCCAATGTCTCACCCACCTCTGGTCAGTGGACTCTGGAAACCCTGCGTTTCTGGTATTTGTAGAAAACCGACATGCTAAGCTGCAAAGCTGCCCCCTCCAGACGTGGCACTCCAGGGCTCACCGTGCGGCAGGCCCCAGTACCAGCCCACTTTCCATCTGCTCCGCCTGGCGGGTCTGCCGGCCAGGCCAAGCGTGGCTGCAGAAAGAGCTAGACCGAGGCTTGCATTTTGCTTTCTGGTCCAAGGGTTATACTCTCTGGTGAAAGTTTTTCTTTCTCCTTTTTTGGACAGTGAAGCTGCAGTGATGGGCCAGTTGGCACCAGGGTGGAAAGACAGGTATTCCTCACTTTGTGGCACCAATGTGGTTCTGGCAAAGTCACCTCTTTTCCAGTAAAACAGGTAGTCTTTCACCACGGCCTTCCATTTTAGGACCAGAGGTTTGTCCCCAGGGAAGCAACCCCACTTACCACGAGCTCTGCCATCTGGGGAAACGGCCTTGCCGCTAGAGACACAGAAGCCAGACACATAGGCCATGCGGGCGGCACCCCCTGGCACAGCCCCTGCCCCGCTATGAATCTCGGTGACCGCCCGTGTCCCACTCTGCCTGGCCCGCACCTCCCTCACCACCACGCTCAGTCCCTCAGAGCAAAGTGTCCACCCCGCAGCATGCCCGAAACCCAGGGCCGGCTCTGCGCTAATTCAGAGCAGAGCGCGTCTCTCCTGCATCCAATCTTCCACACAGGCGGCTTTGAGAGGCTCAGGACAGCGTGTGGCGGGGAGGTGAGAGGAGGACTGGGGCCGGGATGAGGGGCTCGGCCTCACCACGCCGCAGGCTCTACTCCTCACAGAACGGCCGCCCCCGGGCCTGCGCAGGGGGAGGCCCCTCGGCCACCCCGTCCCGACTTCTATGCTGTCATCTCCAGAGCTGCCTGCAGCCTCCCTCTTCACGTTTTGTGTAAACTCTGGCCCTGCCAGCTGAAAGCGAGTTCTGTTTTCTGGCAGTCCTTGGCTTTTGGACTCCGACTTGAAATTAGTTCAAGGCGACCCAGGCACACAGCGCACCGGGAAGCCACGTGGGAGCCCTGCAGGTGGGGGTGCAGCCAGACTGAAATTCATCACCGCAGCCTGGGCCTCGTCAGGCCTTTATGACAGAGTGTGAAGGGAGTTGCTCTTACTCACCGATCTGCTTGGCACGGCCGGGTGGATGAGGAAGCACATCAAAGGTCAGACAGTAGGAGTTTGTCTAGACGTTCTATTTTGGACTCCACACGCACCCGAGGCATTTCTGCAGTAGAAATGGTATTTGTAGAAAACCGACATGCTAAGCCGCAAAGCTGCCCCTCCAGATGCAGCACAACAGACGCAGCCTTTACAACACGGCTATTCCGGCAACATCGAGAAACCCCCGTCTCTCCCAGCGTCAGGTGGGGCCCACTCTGAAAACCCTCGCACCCCATCACTGTGTTTGCTGTGGCGTCTCCACCTCCATTTAGAACAAGGAAGCCCGACGGGGAGGCCCCTGGGAGGGGCCGGCCGGCTGCCTGGGCGGAGGCCAGACCCTGGGAGCTTGTCCAAGGCTCACAGCAAATGCGCCAAGAAATGGAAGTGGCTCATTTTTCCTCCAGGCCTGAGGGGAGGGTTTGGATTTTACAGCCGCTCTGCAGTCATTTCTCAGGTTTGAAGCAGACCTTTCTGAGTTAGGGAGGAGAACACAAAAGTCTCACATGGGCCCTCAATCCCACAGGCACTGGGGGAGACGGGGAAGAGTGGGGAGATGTGGGAGGAGGTGGCCGCCTCGTAGGGGATGCCTGGCATGCCCAGCATGGTGGGTCTGTCCCAGGGAACACGTGGCCGTGTCTGAAGGCCTCTATGGCTGGCACAGTCACAAGGCGGGTGCCCCTGGCGTCAAGGGGTGGGGCGTGGGGACGTCACTCAGCACCTAGCAGTTCCCAGGGCAGCCCCACCTCAGATGCATCCCTTCCAAAATGTGCACGGTGCTGCGGGCAAGAACACCCGTTCCAGAGAATAAACCCCTGCCATGAGGGAGGAAAGTCATTGGCCAAGCAAGAGGCCCTGAGGGCGGGCCTGGCCCTGTGCATTTTCGAATCACTGTTGTAATGGCTGCCAGTGGCCCCTGCTCGCCTCTTCCATTGGGACGTCCCCGGAATTGGGCTGCCCTGGACCTCTGCGTGGTGCCACTGGAGCCTTGGGGTCCCTGCTTGGGAGTGAGCAGATCTCGCAGAGCTGCTGGGCCTGCCATGCCATGCAAACACCTGGCAGGGGTGTGTGGCCATGCCATGCATAGCCAACACCCACACCACACTCTGTTCACGTGCACAGAGTGGCGTTAGAACCAGTGCATATGTGGGGCGTCCGCCACGCAGGAGGGTGGAGGCTGAACAGGGGGTATGGGGGCGTCTGCCACACAGGAGGGTGGAGGCCTGAATGTTTCCACTCCCACACTCCTCCAGCAGTTTCCGTCACTGTCCTTCCTCGGGGCCCTGGCCAGATCTGGATGCAGCCAACAGACGCATCTTTTCTCAGGGAGCTGCCGCCATCTCCCCAAAGGGCAGAGCTGCGCTCTTTCCCCTCGCAGACTGCTGCAGACCCCTCTGGGCCGTGGCCATGAGAAAATGAAGGTCCATATTACTTTGCAAAGGCAGCCTCGGGCCACTGCGGCCTCACCACCGACCTGGGCACAAGCACACATTGTGGCCCAGGAGGACAGGCCTGCCACAGCTTCCTGGAACCTTTTGACCCCACAAGCCTGGGTTCTCAGGCTGTGGGATTTCGGGTGATTCTCTTCAGTCTTTTCTGAATGAGGTAAGCAGGGCACACACTGCTCAAGGCCCACCCAAGGTCCTGAACAGGCCCGGCACCCTTTGGCAGGTGGGACTTTGCCCTGGCAGTTCTCTCTGATGCCCAGCCCCACGCATCTTGGGAGCTCCACAGAAGCAACCTGGGGTCAGGCTCCAAGTACAGGCAGCTTCTGTGGGAACTGATCCCGTAAACAACAGACTGTGGAGGTGAGACAAGAAAGTGAAAGTTGGCAGGGCTGCAGCCAGAGAGGAGGAAGGCTGCCCTGCTGCTGTCAGCCCCGGGGAGGGCTGAGGGTGCCACTGCCCCTACCAACCAGAGGCCTGCTGCAATGGGCGGGGCTCCTGTATGCCCAGCCTGCGTGTGGGAAGAGCGGCCGCTGTGGCCAGACCCAGCAGTTGGACTCCGGCCGGGGTCCTGGACCCGGGAGGCTCAGGGCAGGGGTTGGTGAGCCCACCCAGGCTTCTCCACCCCAGCATTTTGTAAAGGCCACGCATGTCTTGCTGAGAATCACGGAGCCATATTTAGAGTGAATTGATGTATTTGATCGATGTAGCGAAGGGACATGCTGACATCATTTTTGAGCAAGCTAAGAAAGGCTGGGAGCACTCAGCACAGAGGAGGGCCCACAGCAGCAGAAAGACTCCACTGAGACATGGGGATGGCTGAGGAGGGCCCTGCCCCAGGAGCTCTCAGAGCGGACACTGGACATTGAACCTCCCTGGCCTCAGAGCCCACCGCCCCTGGCATGGAGAGGTGGGATCAGGGGCATGGACTGGCAACCTGGCCATCTTGGGACCCCATTTCACACCACAGAGTGACAAGGACATGAGGCCTGCCCAGGAAACTTCCAGGACACGCCCACAAGCAGGCCCATCCTGTGCACAGATGTGTGTATGAGGCTGTTGCTGAGAACCACGGGTGTCCCTGCGATTCCAGAATGGCTTTGACCTGTCTCCCACATGGGCCTTTTGCAAAGGGAAAGTCTGTAGCAAATGTACCATATTCAAAGGTAATAAAAATGATCTATACACAGTTACCACCAAAAACAAGGAAAAACAAATGGCAAACAGCTCACACCATCAGAAAATTACCCCAGAATAGAAGAAAACGGAAATGGGGGCCGTGCGAGCACAGGACAGAGACGGCCATCCCGTCATCTCTCTTAAACAAGAGCTCAGGGAAGACCCAGTGAGGTGTCAAAGGAAATAGAAAAATTAGCAAGCAGAATTGAGGAAAGATATGGCCACTTCTGAGAACACAGAATCAGTGCACGGAACGGGATCCCCTGAGAACACAAGATCAGCACACGGAACGAGATCCTCTGAACATAGGATCAGCGCACAGAACAGGCTCTGTTGAGAACACGGGATCAGTGCACGGAATGGAATCCTCTGAACATGGAATCAGCGCATGGAACAGGCTCCTCTGAGAACACGGGGTCAGCACATGGAACAGGATCCGTGCACGGAATGGGCTCTCCTGAGAACACAGGATCAGTGCATGGAATGGAATCTTCTGAACACAGAATCAGCACACAGAATGGGATCCTCTGAACATGGAATCAGCTCACGGAACAGGCTCCCCTGAGAACACGGGATCAGTGCACGGAACAGGCTCCCCTGAGAACACGGGATCAGTGCACAGAACGGGCTCCCCTGAGAACACGGGATCAGCGCACGGAATGGGCTCCCCTGAGAACACGGGATCAGCACACGGAACGGGCTCCCCTGAGAACATGGGATCAGCGCACAGAACGGGCTTTCCTGTCCACTTAGTGCTGGAGGAGCTCCTGGCCAGCCCGGTGCTGCAGGAGAGGCTTGGGTTCCATCAGAGGACGATGCCATGGGTCGCCCGCCTCTGTTGCCAGTCCCAACTCGGACAGGCCGGCCTTGGTCTCCCTCCTCTGGAGCCCCAGCTCAGTGCTGTTTCTGAGCTGCTTGTTGCCCCAGGCCTGGGATTTTGACATGTCTGCCCCCCTCCTGCCGCCTTTCCAAGCTCTTCATCGTCTGCCCCTTCCTTCAGGATTTTTGGGGAGCAGCTGGGAGAGGCAGGCTCAGGACACGTCAGGATGAAAAGTTGGGCCTGCATTTTGAGAACCACTTTAATCCTGTTTGGAACAGTGGGTACAAATAGATCCCTCATGGTCACTCCAAGAGTGCTCTACTTGGCTCTGACAGTGGGGAGGTCACTGGCTGCAGACCATGTGGGCTCTCAGGACCACACAGAGCAGCCTTGGCAGATCCTTGCCCCCTCAGCTCCCTGCAGCCTGGCACCTTCACTCTGATCCCCAGCCATCTGCCCCACATGGTCCCAAGATAAATGTCCTGCCCTCCATCCCGCTTCAGCCCTCCCTCGCCAAGGACCTGGACTGCCACGACCCTGAAAAATCTATTGACGGACACTCAGGAAAGTGAGGAAAACAGGACTATTAAAGTTTACCGCTTGGCGGAGTTCAGGGTGCTGGCGGGGGCCGCCCTAGGACAGCAATTGCTTTGCACTTACTTCCTGCTTTGTGTTTCCTTGTAAAAGCCGCAGGCAGACAGCTGGTCCTAGGGCAGAGGGGAGGACATGCTGGCCGCCCCGTCCCCGCCGCCATGTCTCGCTCTCCATCACGCCCGAGACCCTCTGTGAACTGCGCTTCGGCTTCCCTGCACTTCCCAGGGAGTGGTGGAGCCTGGAGCAGTCTGTGGGTCCCCTCTTCCTCCCTGGGCCCTGGCATCAAGATCCTGGAACTCCCACCCCCGCGATGGGTTCCCCGGCCTTGCAGCCCTTCTGGGGCCCCACAGGGGAGGGAGGTGAAGGTGGCTCTGTGGGCAGATGGAACCTGCACGGCTCTGCCACTCCAAAGTCTGCGACCTCCAGCAACATCAGCCTCCCCTGCCTCAGCTTCCTGAACTCTGAAGGGAGGGTGCGTGACAAGATGATGCCTTGGCAGGGACCTCAGGGCACAGTGAGCGCAGACCCTGGGCCTCTCTAGCCATGCACCGCCCAGGGGAGTGAAAGTTCAGGATTCCGTGCGCGCCTGAGGACCCAGGCAGTGGGAGCAGAACTGCAGGCCAGGACATTACATCCACCCTGCTGGGGGATGGCGAGGAGCACAGGCCCCCAGGCCCTGGCCCCCACCTCCAGACACCACCCTCACCCGTGCGGGAGCAGGACTTGAATGCACCTGTCTCAGCTCCTTGCACACTGCCCTTCCCAAACCCACACAGGCCCATCCCTTGCCCTGAGAAACCTGTGGGGGTGCTGGCAGGAGCTACCCAAGTGCTAACCCATGCGAGTCTCAGAGTGGTGCAGGGTCCACCCACGGGCTTGCCCTCACGCTAGCCTCCGTGATTACTGTTGTGCTGCCGTGAGCTGCTGTGTTTGGGAGGGCAAGCCATGCTGTGGGAGGGGCCAAGGGGGAGCTGGTGCGCATGCCTGGCCCTGCCCTCCGGCTGGCCTCAGTTCCGCACGAGAGCCTTG